GGGTTTCGGGCTTCGGGTTTAGGGGTTTAGGGTTTTGGGTTTCGGGCTTCGGGTTTAGGGGTTTAGGGTTTTGGGTTTCGGGCTTCGGGTTTAGGGGTTTAGGGTTTAGGGTTTCGGGCTTCGGGTTTAGGGTCTCGGGTTTAGGGAGTTTAGGGTTTAGGAGGCCGCGAGCCCGGAGGCACGCACCTTGAAGGGCTTGAAAGGACCCTAAACCCGAAACCCTGAACCAAAACCTGGGACCGAGGAGTGCACGTCGGGATGGGTCGTAGATCCAGCGGCTTCAAATCTCTCCGGGCTTAGATTTAGAGCTTCGCTTTTGAGCTTAGAGGAACTCTTTAGGGTTTAGGGTTTAGGGGGAAATCAATCGAATCGTCGCCAGTGACAGTAATTCCAATTCAGAAGGTTCAGCTGCAACTCTGCGCGGCACTTCTCACCCCCCCCCCCCTTACTTTGGACTACCCTCTATTGAACCCTAAATGCCCACTGCTAAGGGACCAGAGGGGCTCCATCAAAGGGTACTTGAGGGGTGCTGGTAAACCCCAACCCTGAACTGCAAAACCCTGGCTTCCCCAAGCCCTAAATATTCGGGTTTAGGGCTTTAGGGTTTAGGCTTTAGGGTTTAGAGTTTGGGGATTAGGGATTAGGGTTTAGGGTTTCGGGATACCCTTAGCCCTGAACCCCAGGAAGCCTTCCGGGAAGTTGTGCAGCGCAATGGCCACCCCAGAGAAGGCTGCCATCTGCAGCATGTTCCTCAGTTCCAAGGGCTCGTTAGGGGTTCATGGTTTTAGGGTTTAAGGATGGGTTAGGGAGGGCTAAGGGTTCAAGATTCATGGATACTGTAGGGGCCTAAATAATTAGAATAAGGTTTTGGGGCCCCTGATATTATACTTATAATAAGGAACCCCCAAATAGTATAAGTAGTACTGCGCCAAGCACCCTGAAGCATAAATCCTGAGCCCCAAGCTACATCCAAAAACCCTTGCCCCAACAAACCCTAAACCCTGAACCCTAAACCCTAAACCCTAAACCCTAAACCCTGAACCCTAATAGAGTCTGAGTCCAAGACCCTAATGTAGCGGCCTTGATACTGAAAATAGGATTTTGGGGTATATTATACTATAGTGATAGTAAGGAACACCCCAAATTATTATAGGTGAATAATTAGGCCCCTATTTTATCTTAGTCTTGAGGCTTCCCGGTTCCTGGGTTTAGTCCTTGAGTTGGGCTTGTTTTGGGTTTCGTGACTACAAGGGTGCCGCGGCTTTCTCAGACGATACTTGTGCTCCAAGCAAGCCATGCGCAGTGCGAGTCTGGAATTTGAAGAATTAGTTTTGAGGCCTTAATCGGGCTTTGGAGTATATAATACCATACTGTATACTGGTATATGGGGACGACAAGGGGATCTGACTATTAGTTGCTCTGGCGCCTTTATTACATTAGCTTCATAAGGAAATTACTGCTTAAAAAAACCTCAACCCTAAACCCTAAACCACAAACCCCTGGAGCCACGCAGCATCCGCTCCATGCCGCTCAGAGGTTTCTGACTCGTGGCAGTGGCATCCATTGTTGGGCTGACCTGCCACTCGAACACTGTCGTCTTTGTAGTGGTAATATTAATAGTAGTAGCAGTAGAAGAAGAAGTAGTAGTAGAAGAAGTAGT